GGGATGTGGCCTTCTGTGGATTTCCAGAAGGCTGGCCAGAGACCTCAGAAGGGTCAGATTCAGCCCCAGGGTTTCAGCTCCCCACCCCAGCACAAAAGGTCAGTCTTAAAGGAGGATGGCCTGGATTCAAATTCTGCCCCCCTCAACAAGATAACTTGCTGGGCGGGTTGGAGTTCATCACCATCTCTCACCTACAACTCCTCCATTATTTCATGATACAAAAAATAAGAAGCAACAAACAAGCTGCCTTCACACTCCTTCCAACCAAATTCTGAATATTTTTGGTTTCTCCGAGATGCTGGCACAAAGCATACTGGCTAAGGTCACAAAAGAGCTGCTCTAGCAAAAATGTAGCATAAGAATACCAGCAGTCCTCACCAATATTACGCCAGGTAGACAACAAGCCTGGAAAAATCCAATGGCCTCAGGTTGGGAGCTGTCGCTGCTAATCGAATCCACAGCCTGGATGGAATAATTTGGATCACGATCGTCATCCTCTTCCTTGACGCTGCCGCCAATCAATGGCTCACGAGCATCTTCCTCAGCAACAGGACCATCACCATCTTCGCCAACATCTGGGAGGCCTGGGAGAATATACAGAGAGCCATAAATGAAGAACAAAGAATAAAAGCACCCCCCCTTCCACACCGCTGATTCTTCTGGGTCCTTTGTTTCTTTCCTTCCTCCCTTCTGATTAGCTTGCTTGCTCTCCCCATACCTCAAGTTCCTCCTCCTTTGCTTAGAAACACTTCTAGACGATGTGCTGCAGAGTCTCCAGCGTTTCTACCCCGGTCTTCTAGTGCTCTTGAAAGTATCCTGTCTGATCCTGGAGCCGGACTCTGTCTGCTTTGAGTGACTGGCCGTTAGTTGGAAGACACAATAAATTAGTGCATTCCCTCATTTAACTAGGAATGAACTTTTCCAACAGCAAGATTCTACAGTATTGACTGCACTGTTCCCTGGTACTGAAAACTGGATACTGAAATCTATCAGCAGTGGTTCCAGTGGAGGAAAAACTCCCTCTGATACAACTGTTAAAACCCTCTGAGCTAGAAAACATCTCATTACAGTATTTTCTCCAAGTTACATCTTCCTCTGCAACTATTCCTACTTCCTTTGCAGGCTCCTCTGTATCTCTCAAGTAGACGCATCCCATCTAAATCTAATCGCTGCAATTGCCAGATCCAAATCTGGAATGAATGTTGGGGAGCCTCCCTTCAACATCTACAACAAATACGAGCAAAATCTTTCACTGCATCCAGATTCTGGATTTCTCTGCCCAGAGATCCAAATCACCTTTTTCCTGATGGCCTTGTACTACAATCCAAAGATTTATCCCACTGGTTCTTAACCTTGGATTACTCAGGAGTTTTGGACTGCAACTCCCAGAAGCCTTCACCACCACTTCCTGATGGCCTTGTATTACATTCTAAAGATTTATCCCATCATGAAGGCCTTCAGCTCTTTGTGATCTTAGTGAATTGTAGTTTGCATGGTTTTACTGCTCTTCCTATCATGTTAGACTTTTGCACTTTTCTGCTCAGTTTCTTCTTCTAAGGCACAACATCTGCTGTGTTATTTCATCCCTTTCTTTTGTTTTGTTAGCTGCCTTAAACTCTTTTGACAGCATGTGTGTGTGTATGTTTTTTTTTTAAGTGTATATGTGTCTGTCTGTCTGCATGTGGTTTAAAACAAGGTGAGCCATTTGTAGTCCTCAAGTCCTCACAATTGGTTACACTGGCTAGGGCTGATGTGCTAAACACTTTTGACAGCATGTGTGTATGTTTTTTTAAAAAAATGTATATGTGTCTGTCTGTCTGCATGTGGTTTAAAACAAGGTGAGCCATTTGTAGTCCTCAAGTCCTCACAATCGGTTACACTGGCTAGGGCTGATGTGAGTTGTGGCCCAATAAACAGCTGGAGAGCCACAAGCCACCCATCCTTGTGTTAAACAACTTACTGGACAGCATCGTGCAGACTCACAACAGATATCTGCACAAGCGAGCACTGAGCTAATGGGGTGCCGGGATGTGTTTTAATGCAATAAAAGGGGAATTGCCTTGCAAACCGGGCAGTCAAAGGAGGTGCATGACCATCACCTCTACTCACCCACTTCTTTGGGAGAAATCACAAGGCCAAAGAAGACGACGACTCCTCCAGCAAACTGTACCGACGCTGTCACCAAGAAGGCGTACTGAAAGGAAGAAAGCAAAACTAGCTCGTGTTACATGGCTCTTTGATTTTGTCAGATAAAGCAATCTGAGCTTCCTTCTTAAACCATTTTATGCCTTCTCAGGTGTATTTTTACTACAGTGGACCCTTGACTTAAGGAATTAATGTGTATTGGAACAGTGGCTGCAGGTCAAAAAGTCTGTAGGTCAAGTCTCCATTGACCTACAGTGCATTGAAAACTGATTAATCCCGTAACAGGCCGTTTTTGTTCCATTTTGGTTTTTTTCTGGTCTGTAAGTCAATTCTCAGGCTGCAAGACAAACCTAAATTTTGCGGCCAGAGAAGTCTGTAACTCAAAAAGTCTGTAAGTCAAGCCGTCTGTAAGTCGAGGGTCCACTGTAGTTAAAACAATGATTTACAAATCCCTGAACTGCCAAATTTGAGTGATTTAAAGAGTAACCACAATGCTCGACAAAGGCATAAGCATGTAGGATGTAACCTTTGTTGCATAACTGGGCTCCTTCAAGCACATTTTCCCTTGGCAAAAAAAGCATGTATTCTATTTCCTGTTTATTTATTTAAGATATTTTTAGCTTCTTTTTAGTCCTGCCAGATTCTGAGGTGAAAGATTTTAATGAGAACAATGAAGCAAAGACAAAATAAAAATAAAGAGACAGCATTTGGAAGCAAGCAACAAAATCTGGCCTAGAATTTGAAGGTTTTACCACTTTTAGAGCTGATGTACAATGCCTAGAATCTAATTCCCAAGTTTAGCAGCCACCATCAGAAACATTTCCTGAGTTGTAACAAATGTTAGACTAATCAGAGAGTTCTCATTATATCTTGGATCTAAACATTTGGGATTGAAAACGGATTCAAATATCTTGGATCTAAACATTTAGGACTGAAAAAGCAGAAGAAGGAGGAGAGATGATAGAGGCATATAAAATTATGTAAGTTGTGGATTAAGTGGACAGAGAAACAGCTCTTCTTCCTTTTTCATAATACAAGAACCCAGGGACATCAACCAAAGTTGAAAGTTCAGGAAAGATAAAAGGAAGGACTTCATACAGTCTGTAGTTAAACTGTGGAATTCATTGCCACAAGATGTAGCAGCATCTGCCAACTCAGACAGCTTTTGAAAGCAGATTGAGTATATTTAAAGATGTCAAGGCCATTACTGGTCAGAAAGGCTTTATATCACATCCAGTATCAGAGGCAACATTCATGTGCATATCAGTTCGTGTAGAACATAAAACAGAAGGTGCATTTGCAATCATGTCCTGCTTGTGGATTTCCCCTCGGCAACTGGTTGACCGCTGTGCAAATAGAATGCTGGACTCCCCAGACCAAGCTATGCACCACAGTGTTGAGATACATCTTCTCCAGAAGGCATATAACTGTAGAATTAGCCAAAGGCATCTAAATGTCTTCCTAGATGCCACCTCCGACATCACTCCTCAGCAATGACTTTTTGGGGTTTACATGAAGAAAACAGGCATTGCCATCCCTCCATAAGGAGGAGGAGACCCCCCAAAGTTGGGTATCATCTGCATACACTCACATTCTGCTCCGAGCCAGGAAAAAGACATCCATATAGATGTTAGGCACTGGAGACAATGCAATGCCCGAAAGCAGTGGTCCCCAACCTTTTTCAAACCACAGACCAGTTCAGCGGGGATGAGTTGGCATCCGTGCGTGGGTGGGCAGGGCGTCCTTGGAAGAATTAGAAATTGTGGTACCCATGGAGCTCCACGTTCTCTACAAGCGCCTGGCTACCATCCTCTTCTTTTCCACTCAGTGTGCACGTCCGGGAAAAGCCTGGAAGCTCTCAAGCCCCTTAGGAAGGGAATAGGAAAAAGCCAAGCCATCCTTTTCTTGCAGGTGGCGGGTTTGGGGGGTGGGGGTGGCACCATCGCTTGCGTTCCTCCTTATGGGCATGAAAGAACTTCCTGAAAGGCCCAACCTACAGAATGGAGGAGTGTTCTTCAGCCCACCCTCCAAGGGATTAGTCGCAGTTTTTTTGGGGTGGGGGGAGAAGAGTGCTTATGTTAAGTTGTTTCCTGATAGACTCATTCATTTGTTTCAGTGAATAGAGTATTTTCCACCCACTCACACTCTTTTTGTGTAATGAGTGCCTGGACAAGAAGCTGGTTATTTGGCGTGGAGTGGGGGAAGAGACAATAAGCAATACCCCCTTGCTTGCCGCTCCTGTCTCCCCGCAGCCTGGCTCATGTGTCCCCCGTGGCTTGGTGCTGGTCCGCAGACCAGGGGTTGGGGAACCCCTGCCCTAAAGACTCTCACCAGCAAGCCCCTAGGATTCAGAATGATTTCCCACAAAGCACGACAAACAATCCATCTAGAAGGGAAACAGCAAGTCATTCCACTCACCTCATAGCCATAAAGCAGAACGGAGGAGGCCAGGAAGGCGCCTATGATGTTGCCCATGGATGCACAAGCACTCCAGAGTCCAAAGACAAGCCCTCTCCTGAACATGATTTTTTTTTCAAAAGATCAGAAGAAAAATGAATTGAGCATGTGCTGAGAACACAAGTCAAAGAACACTTCATTTTATGAAACACAATGACATACGTCTCCACTCCCCAAAACAGATCTGGATTCACCCAGCTTACCCCTTCACTACCCTGAACACACCTGGTCTCATTTGATTTTGGAAGCAAAGCTGAGTGGGCCTGGTTAGTATCTGGATGGATGAATGTCACGGAAAACCAGGGATCTCCATGTAGACTTAGGAAAGAATCCTGCCGGATTTCCTGCAGAGCCTCTTCCAGTCAGAGCTGATAATACTCAGCTAGATGGACCAACGACCTAACTCCCTATAAGGCGGTTCCACATGTTTCCTTGCACAAATCAGTCTTTACAGATCTATTTACTTGATAAGAGCTATCAAATGTTTAGTTCAGAGAGGCAGCAGCAGGAGACGGAGAAAAAGGAGCAGCCATGCTGGGCTGCCCCTTGTACATGCCCATCGACTGCTCCTCCAGCAAGGATCAAAATTAGGGGATCACCTTATACATTGAGGGGGCTGTATACACAGAAAAATAAGGTATGTCATCAGCATATCACCATTAATTAACGGCTTATTTGGTGATTTCAGGGTTGGGAGTTCAATTCCCCACTGTGCCTCCCAGGAGAAGAGCCGGCCTGTGTGGCTTTGGGAAGCTACACACTCCCGGGTCTCCCCCAGAAGAAAGGAATGGTAAATCACGTCTGAGTACTCTTTACATAGAAAACCCGGAAAAGGGTCAAAGCTACACGCTCCCAGGTCTCCCCCCGAAGAAAGGAATGGTAAATCACATCTTTACATAGAAAACCCGGAAAAGGGTCACCATAAGTCAGACTTGACTTGATAGCACATTTATTATGATTATGATTATTGCTTATATACTACGTATACATTATCTGAAACCAATGGGCAACCTGAGGGAAGTGCTGGGCATGTGAAAAGAGCTTAAAAATCTAAAGACTGACTTTAAAAAGAAAACAATTATTGTGAGCACATTTTTGATGTAGAATTTCTCTTATCCCCAGATAATGTAGGAGAGTAATCAGATGGCATGGTGCACAAAAGAGTGAAGTGAGAAATTTAGTAAAACAAAACAAATGTAGAAGCTCCAGCAATACCTGCCAAACAAGGAGGAAAAAATTGCAAAGCCCTCACGCAAAGGAGCAGCAAGGCACGGATAAAAATAAGAGAGGAGCAAACATACCCATCTTTGCCAAACCAGTTTCCCATGACTGCTACCACACAGGGCCAGCCAGTGGACTGCAGCAACCCGTTCACAATCCACATGCTGCAGTAGAACCACTTGTTGTAGAAATGGAGCCATTCAGTGAGAGTGCCAAAGACGAACACCTGGGAGGAAAGGAGTGGACACTGTCATGGCAAGGTAAAGGGCAAGTCAACCCATGACAATTACTAGCCCATGCTCTTCGCTATTTGTGGAACGGCAAGGCAACTGTTGAAATCTCCCTACTTGGTCACCTAGAAAAGATTCTTCCTTGCTCCAAGAGATCAAGCCACTAGCCATTAACCAAGATGGGTGGAAGGCAAACTAGGTGGGTGCTGGTAACGGAAACTATGGAAGGCAAGGTGAGAGCATCCCCAGTTTAAATAAGGACAGGCAGAAAAAGGAGGAGGAATTTGGCAACCCTCCTCAGAACATGATGGTTTCCCCTTTGTTGGAGGGTTTAAAGCAGAGTCTAACAGTGCCCAACTTTTAGCTGTGGGTTCCCACAGTGGCAATGGACTGGATTACCCTTGGCTCCTTTCCAACTCCACAATTCAATGTATATTTAAGATAGGAAGTGTCACAGAAGTGATGGTACTCCCTAGAAGGCTAATGTTAGTCTAATCAGGACAGCCTTCAGACGACAGGCAATTACTAGGACGTAAATAAATTCCAGCAATGCATTATTTTTCCGCACCCCCAGTCCCAGAAGATCGATTTTCCCAGTCCCTTTCCCACCCACAATCTGTACAGATCACCAGCTGTGCACAGAAGTATGCAAATAGCTGAACTACAGATTCTAGCAGAATCAGACAGATTTAAAAGTATGAGAACGATTGCACAGCAGGGCAGAATGTCTACAACAGATCTGAAAAAAACCCTACTTTGAACAAGAAGTATTAGAATCAATTACCTGCCTTGTTTCTACTTTGCAATTTCTAAATAGCTAAAATCTTATCAGAATGCATTTATTACCAAGGATATTTATAGTGAAGAGGAAACTGCTCCTTTTGGCAATAAAATGCCATTTGAACGTTGTATATATCAAAAAGGCCTCTCTGGTGGGATCTGTGTGTTCTTTGATTGAAAGATGCAGGTTTCGCTTTGTAAAACATTCACACCAGCTCCTTACTGTTTCAGATATAGGTTCAGTAAAATGCCAAGGGGCTTTGCCAAATCAAAACCATGTGCTACAGGGATAACATCCTTCCCAATATAGTGTTCAGAGTCCCCAACTCACCACTAACGCAGAAGAGCACATGCCAAATGATAGGACACAGCGCATATTCAGACGATCCCCAACAATACCACTGATAAAAAGGCCCTAAAAATCAGAGGAGAATTCCATTCAGTGAGCACTGCACAATGTAACTGTCAGTCTGTGAAACTCATAATTGTGTTCATGCTCCAGATCACAGCAACTCTTTGTCGCTTTTATTCCATAAGAGGCATTCAAGACAATATCAATGTCTACGTCAGGACAAGCTTGATGTCCAACCCAGGTTTTACAGCTGAGCTACAAGGCTCACCGTGCTGGCTGCTCACAGTCTTTTGAAGAGGGAACAGAAAGAAAGAAAATTAAGAAAATACTTTTGCATGGGGGGGGGGAACTATCTAATATATTTCTTTCCAGAATTAATTAAGTGTTGTTTTTTTCAAGAAATGGCGTTCAGCATTAAAAATGTATAGATTCTTATGTCAGATCATCTCCAGCGTTTGAATATGATCAGAGATGAGTGGGCACCCACTGGAGGAGCTGGGGCTGGGAATAAATGAACTGGCACAAACCACCAAACCAGAAGTTTGTGCCCGTCTCTAAATATGACCATCCCCATGTATATTACAGATTACAAATGCTGAACCTATAAAAAGGTAAAGGTTCCCCTTGACAATTTTTGTCCAGTCGTGTTCGACTCTAGGGGGCGGTGCTCATCCCCGTTTCCAAGCCACAGAGCCAGCGTTTGTCCGAAGACAATCTTCCGTGGTCACATGGCCAGTGCAACTTAGACACAGAACGCTGTTACCTTCCCACCGAGGTGGTCCCTATTTATCTACTCGCATTTGCATGCTTTCGAACCGCTAGGTTGGCGGGAGCTGGGACAAGCGATGGGCACTCACTCCGATGCCTGGATTCGATCTTACAACTGCTTGGTCTTCTGACCCTGCAGCACAGGCTTCTGCGGTTTAGCCCACAGCGCCACCACGGTCTTCCAGATATTGTCCAAGTACAACCTCCTTCATCTTTCACCACTGACTCTCCTGGATAGGATTGAGGAGAGAAAGACCACACCTTCCCCATGCCTACTATAGATGCATTAAACAATTTTCTTAGGTTTCCCATTCTGGGTTATCTCTTCCACAGCTTCCCAGATCATTCATGTCACTGTTGCCCATCTTAAACCTCAGTCTTTTCTTTAAAAATAAAAACGGACCTGTCTGCAAGGTTCTTTTTTTTAAAAAATCTATATGAAGCTTTGAAGTTTTCCTTTTACAACCACTGCATAAATAATAGTATTAAATACGAATCAGTGCCTACCACATCTAATATTGATATATATGATTTGGTCCGACTTCAAAACAGGATGGACTTGATTTAAATTTAAAAAATTTAAATCACAATTTAAATCATGATCTCAATTTTCAAAAATATAAATTGACAAAGATTCAGTTTTTAAGCTTAGTGATTTAAATCAATTTGATTTTTTTTAAATCACTGATTTTATCCACTCTGCTTCATCCAACATTGAAAAGGCAGCGAAAAATACATTCCTAGGAATTGTCCTCCGCCATTATATATTCTGGTTTTTTACAGTTACACAGAAAGATGATTCCACCCACCACAGCATATGAGAACAGGAAGATGGTGTCCAGCGTCCCAAGGAAAAGCGTGGCTTCTTCAGCGTTAGGAAACAAATTACTACTGTTCCAGAGCTGCAGAGAAACACAAGATCAGTGTAAGAGCGATAGTCTCAAATTTGTTGGTGGAACAACACTCTCCCAGAACACCATAAGTGCTGGTCATTACCTACGAAGCCCTTGTACAGCTTTGGTCCAGGCTGCCTGAAGGACTGTATCTCCCCGTATGAGCCTTTTCAGCATTTAAGATCATCAGAGGAGGCCCTCCTCTCGGTCCCATTGCCAGCACAAGCACAGCTGATGGAAACACAAGAGAGGGCCTTCTCTGTGGTAGCTCCCAGGTTTTGGAATGCTCTCCCGAGGGAGATCAGGCTAGCTCCTTCCTTTTTATCCTTCCGCCGACAACTGAAGACCCATCTTTTCAGGCAGGCTTTCCACAATCATTTCCACAATCACTGAGTCCCTGAATACCTTTTAAAAGTTGATCGTTTCTAATGTTTACTTACTTTTAATTATTCAACTGTATTTTAATTAGCATGTAGTTTAATAATTTCTCATGTATAACTTATGTTATTTCTATTCTTTTTAATATTGTGGGTTTCCTTATCAGGAGTAAGGTGGCTCATAAAACAAACAAACACACAAATAAGAATGACTACAGACACCACCACATTATTCACTCCTGACTCAAGCCTTGGCAATCTTTTTTAAAAATGCTGTTGACTCAGAGTTTGGCAAAGTTTCTTGTTTGGGCTACAACTCTTATATTCCACCAGCTGGCTGCTGGATTGATTCCAATCCTCATCAGTTTCCCCTCCCTGCTAATTTCTAGGGGTGAACACTGTCTATAGATAGCTGTGCAAAAATGGACCAAATCGGGGTGTCTGCACGATTACAGGCTGACTACAGAGTGGAGCAAAGAGCTGCTGGTCACCCACGGGGCAGAGGAAGGCCCCTGCAAGTCCTTCATGCTGCCTGCATTCAGTATTTACAGAGTTTAGAAGTTTTTAAACAAAGATGCCCAACAGTTTGAATGGAGGGAAGTGGGCACTTAAAAGACTAAGCTTAAGGAGAAGCCAACTGACAACTAAAAAATAAAACTCAAGCTCTTCCTTGAACACTCCAACCACTGAGGCACAAAGGAGGGTTCAAACTGAGGTCGCTGTACACTGTCCATCCCAAAGCAACTTCTCTGCATTTTACATAGACGGTGGGCAAATGAAGACTTGCATCATCACTGCTAGCTAGGATTTGTAATCTAGACTTTCCTGTTTTCTTTCTTATCTAGCTAAGTTAATTTACTAAACAGCTCACTGATAGAATGAAGAGAGAGATAAACATCAGCATTCATCTTGTATGTGCTTTGATTAGCTAGATAAAATTAGAGCGCTAGGATCTTTCTTTCCTCTCCTCCCTTCCACCTTTTCTCTTCTTTGCAGGGGGTGCAAATCCCACATTCTGCTGGGCTTCGTGAAATTGCTAAAACTGTGCTTGTGGGCAGAAGTAACATCCTGTCTATCAGATCCTTGAAACCAGTGGTGCAGGACTTGCCCCTACTCTGGATCCCCACATTTGCATTTTCTCCACTCACAGGAATGGATTCCTTCACGGAGATCCAGAAATGCACAGGAATCACCATGTTGCTGTCAAAAGTGTACAGAAAAGGACGGGCACCTCTGTATGTGTGTGTGTGTGAACATTAATGGTTTTGTGGTATGGGGGGTGCACAGCACATCTCTACAAATTTGTTAAGCAACTGGATAGCTCAGTATTTTAGATCTCTGGCTGTGGAGCCAAAGGCTGGGAGTTTGGTTCCTCACTGTGCCTCCTTAAGAGGGGCTGGACTCGATGACCCTTAGGGTCCCTTCCAGCTCTCCAGTTCAAAAAAGATGATTATTATTAGCCATCAGTAATGCAAAATCGATCCCTGCCACTAGAGGGCCATTCATTTTGCAGATCTCTTTATAGATGAGGGGTAGGCATGGCAGATGTTGTTGAACTGTAACCTTCCTCATCTCTGGCTTCTGTTGGTTAGAGCTGATGGAGAGAACCATAGATATCCCACCCCGGCATTGGATAAAGTCCTCCAATGTTTGTTGCTAAAGACTGAATTTACTTATAGCGAACCTAACAGGGTTCTCAAAGTAAGTGAGGCATTTGAGTGGTTTTATGAGGTCCATCCCCCACTGAACTTCCACTGGAGAGCCGGGGAATTGAAACCAGGTCTTCTGAATCCTAGTCCATTACTCTATCCACTATACTGCTTCAAACATTGAGAATGCAAGTGGTATACATTTTATGCTTACTCCTAAAAATGTGAAAAACTAAAATAAAGCACAGGCCTCTGCTGTGTGAAGAGAGACCCAGGAGATCCAGGCTTGTGACTCATGATATGTCCAGGAACCTCTGTTTTGGATGTATGCAAATATCATACAGCTACTTAGCATCCAGATGTGAATCAGGGAAACCTCATGGAATGCAGCTCAGTTCCCGAGAAGCAAGGAGAGTTCCTTCATGAGCTTGAAGGATCTCCACTCTGCATGGATAAATTTAGCACCTCCCGTTGTAAAACTGTCCAAGCGAGACAGGGGAATTTGTTTAATGAAGTGGGCTTATGCCATGATGTAGAACATGTCAGGCTTTCAGGTTCTTTGCTTTAAAATGGTCACTTTTCTTCACACACATCATCTCCGTAATCCTGTACTGTCATTCCCCTATAGAAGGGCATGGGTGGGCAGTTTATGGATAGAAGCACTATAGCCAATGGCAAAGAATGCTGAATCCCCAGTCCAACAGCATTCGAAGGGTTGCACTTTGCCCCTCCTTGGGCTAGGCAGAAGACTCAAGCTGAAGTGAATAAGAATTTGCCCAAGGCCATTTCCAATGCAAGTCCCTTGATTCAGAAACAGACTGATGTTATTCTCCATACATGGGTGCAGGCTTGCAATCCTTTGAAGAAGATCCTTCTAGACTAGGGTTTAAGATTCATTAATCGGCAAAAGATGGTGCTGAGCCATGAGCACATGACAAAAGCAAGAAGCAAAGAGAGGCCTTGACTCACAGAGAACCAGGAGGGCCTTAGCCAAGACTGAGAAAGAAGTCAGCTTGTGTGGCAAAATCCACTGCACTGCTGATAATCTGGAGAAGAACCCTGAAAATACAGAAGCTGGTATCCCTATTTTCCTGTACAGTCCTAGGCATGTCAATCAGTGGCACATTTCCCTAATCTCCAAGGGGCACATTCCTCATCTGTGCCACAGAGACGATACTTTCTGAGACTTTATTCTCGGTTGCAAAGGGACAACCATCAGATGCCTTCCAGGTTTCTGTCACAGTTTCGAAACTTTAGTATTTTTAGACTACAGCTCCCAGAATCCCCAGCTGCATGGCCAGCAGCCATCCTCATCAAGGGATTATGTGAGTTGTAGTGCCTCCCCTCCCCAAAATGATAGGGCTTCCAAGTTCTGCTGTCTGTTAAAGAAAAATTCCATTCTCGTTAAGAGCTAGGAACAATCCTAGAAAGCGCATAACATAGTAAAAGAGAATATCTCGTGGCAATTTCCCCCTTACTTCTCAACTGCTTACGTAGCTGTAATAAACACATTGGACTTGACCAGAGTAAATGTTTAACTGAGTCAAGGCTACTTCCAGATTCTTGGCTGGGACAAAAACTTTGTGCAATCCCTAAATCAAAGACAAGATAAGGGATTCATGGCAAGGTGTGACCTCTGTTGCCATTCCTTTACATCATTGGTTCTTCATCTTTGTTGCGTAGATCACAGTACACGGAAGTCAGCCATGTGGAAGCAGCCACTGACACACAGTAAGTCATGCTCTTGTTAAGTGCAAGAACATCACAGTGATTGCTGGCCAGGGTACAAAGAAAGCACAAAAGCTTTGCTTCGATGCATGTGTAAAGAAGGGAACGTATTCTTCCAGATGAACGTACACAGAAGTCAGCCACGTGGAAGCAGCCACTGACACACAGTAAGTCATGCTCTTGTTACTGTAAGTGCAACAACATCAATGTGATTGCTAGCCAGGGTACAAAGAAAGCACAAAAGCTTTGCTTTGATGCATGTGTAAAGAAGGGAACGTATTCTTCCAGATGAACAGCATGGAGAGATAAGGTTTCGTTTCCCATATAAGTTGGACCCAGAAATTGGAAAAGTTACTTTTTTTTACACCAGAGTTCACATGATCATACCCGTGTTAGCTAGGCGATTCTTGAACTTGTTATACAAATGACTAACTGCTCCAGTCAATTGTATGGAGAGATAAGGTTTCGTTTCCCATATAAGTTGGACCCAGAAATTGGAAAAGTTACTTTTTTTTACACCAGAGTTCACATGATCATACCCGTGTTAGGTGATTCTTGAACTTGTTATACAGTACAAATGACTAACTGCTCCAGTCAATTGTTGTTGTTAATTGTAAAAACTGATGAAATTTTACACCCTTGCCCACAAATTGTCAGAATGATGGCATATGTTTGTTGGACTGCAGGACATCGCACCGCATATAGGATACAATCTCTTTTGAATTCTTCCCCCTTGAAAGAATAGACATTCTTTTACATCACTGCCCAAACCTGACTTGCAAGTATTATATGCTAGCCTTCTCTTTGGGATGCTAGTTTTCTATACAGATGGGATTTCTTCACTTAAGGAACATTTAAGAGCGTGTTTCTCTACCTGCAGGTTAACTGGAACCCAACACCTGCAGTTCTGCAGTGCATAAGACCACTTCTGTACACAGAGATAATTTCTCTCACATTAGGGCATAATGTTTTGTCTAGGAAGGAGAGTGTTTTAAATACCATCTGGATTTTGCATGTTTAAAAATGAGGGAATAATGTTATTGTCTTTTTTTAAAAAAACTTTGTTTTCTAAGGGAAGCTGTAGGACTACTCAGGAGAAACCCAACATCATCACCTCAACTTATAGGGCAAAGATGAGCAATCACATTTGAGGCAGAAGGGTAGATACCCTCAATCAGTGGTTATGTCCCACCTATACACCTGTGACAGTGGGTGGTGTCCCTATGAAAATGACAGACAGAATGCTTCCACTTTGGATTATGAACTTCTCCCTTTTCCCATGAGTGACTGCAGACAATAATTTAAAAAACCAGCTAGACAATGCTGACTTAGCTCCTCAACCCTCTACTCTGACGGTATTCCCCACAGCTACTGCCAATCGCTGTTTAGAGGCAATAGCAAGAATACACACACACAGAGAGAGAGAGAATTGATTCATTGGAAATATGGTGAGATGAAGTTGTGGGTCCAAATCAAATCAAACCTGAACTACCTTTGGGGGCAAAATGTTGAAATGGAGGCTGTCCAACTTTGGCCACATCAGAAAGAGACAGGATTCTTTGGAAAAGACAATAGTACTGAGAAAGCTGAGGGCAACAGGAGAAGAGGAAGACTAAATATGAGATGGTTCAACTCCCTAAAGAAAGCCACAGGCTTGAGTTTACAAGAGCTGAACAAGGGTTGAGGACAGGACACCCTGGACATCACTCAGAGGGTTGCTGCAAGTCAGAGGAGGGTTGTTGAGGACAGGACACCCTGGAAATCACTCAGAGGGTTGCTGCAAGTCAGAGGTGACTGTATGGCACATAAGAACAACAACAACAACCTAAAGGGACTCAGTCATGGATGAAGTGAAGGGCATGGGGCCTAAACAATGGCTTCATAGTGTGTGAGAACATTGGCCCATTTGGCTTTCCTACCCCTAACTGGAGATTGCACAAATATTTGATTTGGTTGATAAGAGTCACAAAAATGGCCTGAGGTAATGATGGAACCATTTCTATTAACCAGTAAGAACAACAATAACAACAACAGGCATGCCTAGTTCAAGGACGGTTTTGCATACTGTAATTGTATACAGCAGGTTCCTGGGGTTTACCAGCTTGTGAGGAAAATGGAAGATAAGCCAAAGCTAACATTGGTCAACAAACTGAATATACTCACCTCATACGGCTGAAAACTGAGGGCAGTGTCATTAAAGGAGGAAGGGGTCCACTGTTGAGAAATGCTGACCTTGACATTGCTGAATGTCTTCCTTGAAGCATGGAGTAGAGAGTAACTGGACATTTGAGGGAATGAGGAAGAAAAAGAAGGACGATCACACTCTGCTATTTAATTCATGCTTGCACCAAATGCTCTGCAGAGACAGACTTTGTTTTTTGTTCTGCCACTGGCAATTTTGGTGAGAATGAGCCAGAA